GAGCCCTCACTGCGAACCGATCGCCTTGCCGTCCCCTGCTGGAAGTGCTTTGTGTTCTTATTTATATCTGGACTTCGCTCCTTGCAAGTCAGTGCCACTTTATCCTCACAACAACCACCCTGCGAGATAGGTCAGTGTGTGTGCGAGAGGGAACAGTAACTGGTTGAGGTCCCTCAGTCACCACACTTTTTATCCAAAACTGACAGTATGCACATGTGAAGTGAAACTATGAGATCAAGGAAGCCTTTCATAAGTCATTAGAAACGTTTTGTACCTTCCAGAGCATTGTTGTCAGTGGCTTTGTTAACTGAGGTGTGCTTGTACATCTTAGTGAATCTTTTTTAAGACTATGTAGAGAGATCTTGTAGCACCTTTGAGACTGAAAAAGTTGGCAGCATGAGCTTTCATAGACTTCGGTCTACTTCCTCAGATGCTAAGAAAGCTCATGCTGCCAACTTCTTTCTTTCAGTTAGTCTCAAAGGTGCTACAAGATCTCTGCATAGTGATTCTACAGACTAACACAGCTATATCTTTGAATTCTACCACTTTGTTTAAGACTAGCTGTAACTTCTGACACAAGCATTTGTGATTGGCTTCCCTTCACTTTGGTCTCTCCCACAGAGACTGGGATGATTCCACCAAGAAGGACTCAATTGTCTCTTCCTCCTCTTTGCAGTGGAACAGAATCAGGCCAGGTAAGGAGAATGATTCCTGGAACAAGAGGACTTGAGCAATCTGGGTTAAATTGTAAAAATATGCACATTTCTTCATATTCTTAATGGAGAGAACTTGTGATTCATAAAACATGAATGTGAGAGATTCAGACTGACAGAGTTTATTCATCCTGGCCCCAAGGTTTGAGGATTTACCTTTGAAAAGGCAGACAAAAAAGCAACAATTTACTCCCCCTCTATCTCACCTAATGCTGGGACAGATCCAGGATTAACCCTAGTGGAAAAGGTTATTGCTGAGAAAGTACACTTAAATTAAGACAGACTGCAGCACTGGGTTTTGCCAGAGTCTATGGGGAAGGGCAAGTTTTGGCCCCCTTCTCTCCTTCCCTCTTTGCTGAACTGTTGTTGTTGTTGTTGTGTGCCTTCAACTAGTTTCCAGCTTATGATGACCCTAAAGCGAACCTATCGGGGGGGTTTCATGGAAAGATTTTTCTATTTGTTGTATAGTGGTTTGCCCTTGCCTTCCTCTGAGGCTGAGAGTGTCAGTGGGTTTCCATGGCTGACTGGGGATTTGAATTTTAGTTTCCAGAGTCAAACCACTACGCCACACTGGCTGAATTAATGGAGTGCAAACACATTTTACACTTTGAATTCAGTTTGCAGTTATTCAAAGGGGGAAAGTGGGGATGGGGGGAGAAGGAAACTGGGACATTTTAAAAGCCACTGAAAAAGTTCAGCAAAAGTTAAATGGCATTGTCCCTGCAAAATTGGGACCGTTGTAGGATATGCCATAAAACTCCACAACCTTCCCTCAAAACCAAAAAAATTAACACATGAAAAATACCGGCTGAAAATTGGCCAACATGTCAATTGGAAGTAGTACAGCATCCCTTCTGGCTTGCTGAAATGACCCAATCTGGCCTGCCCCCCCCCATCTTTAGTTCCCTACCCCGGGTTCAAATCCTGCAGGGGAAGAACTTTGGTATTCCTCAGTTGTGGTGTTATATTTCTTCTAAGCAGTTTCCTTTTACTTCAAGCTGTAGAGTATGTCATGGGCTGAGTCTCCTGTGTTTCTGAGACCTCATCCATGATGCTTATGCTGGTATTTGGGAAAGAATCAACCTCACCTCAGCTGCCTTTGGAACCTGATCAGCCTGTGAGTCTGCATTAACTGCCACAGCCAGCTGTAATTTTGATATCCAGTGTGAACATAGACCTTTTTCTTCTCTCTCCAGAGCATGGTGACTTTTGAGGAGGTGGCTGTGTCTTTCTCCCCAGAGGAGTGGGTCCTCCTGGATCTTGACCAGAGAGCCCTGCACAGGCAGACCATGGCGGAGATCCATGAGATTGTGGCCTCTCTTGGTAAGGCTCTCTCCCTGGATAACTCTGTCTTCTGTTTTAAAATGAATTTATGATAACAGCATTAATGGCTACAATCCTTGAAAGAGGATTCTGACTCAGGACAAATGGGAACTTGATAAGGTCTTGTTCCCTTGTTCATGATAATTCCTGTTATAAAATGTGGTAGCAGCATTGCATTTCTCTGTGAGGGAAGAGACTATGCTTCTGGTAATAGTGCTGCTGGTAGAGTCTCTCAAGTCAAGCATGCTTTTTCTGAGGAGCCAGACTCAGTGTGCCAACAGCTAGTGTGCAGCAGCAGTAGCTAAGGGTGACACTGGCAGAGGATCTCTTTGAGACAGAAGAGTATTCCCCCATCAGTATCTCTGAATGTCTCTGGTGTGCTATGGTGACTAATTTGCCCTACATGTGTATTAAGCATCTGCAGATTTTGGTGATCGCAGGGAGTGGTGGTGTCTGGAATGGATCCCCGCAGATACCGAGGGGCCAACTGTAGTTTGTCAGTACATTGAAGCTCACAGATTCCCCTTTCCTGTTTGCCTCTGATCAGGATCAAGATTTGGATGCTGATACCATACCAGTGTCAGTGTTCTTGATTTGACTACATGAGGACAGAGGGGAAGGATAGACAAAAGCAGAAATGTGCTGTTACCCAAAAAAAGTTGGGGTTCCCATCAACTGTCAGTGTTATTTTAAATGTTGGCGGAATTAGCTTTAAGTTTGCAAGAGACTAATTAACTGCCTGAACAGACTGCCAGAAATAATCCAGCTTGAGACCACTTTAACTGCCCTGGTTCAGTGCTAGGGAATCATGGGAACTGTAGTTTATTGTGCCACCAGAGCTCTCTGTCAGAGAAGGCTCAATCTCTCAGAAGAACTACAATTCCCATAATTCTGTAGCATTCATAGAATCATAGAATCATAGAGTTGGAAGAGACCACAAGGGCCATCCAGTCCAACCCCCTGCCATGCAGGAACTCCCAATCAAAGCATCCCTGACAGATGGCCATCCAGCCTCTGCTTAAAGACCTCCAAGGAAGGAGATTCCACCACACTCCGAGGGACTGTGTTCCACTGTCGAATAGCCCTTATTGTCAGGAAGTTCCTCCTAATGTTGAGGTGGAATC